TCCCTCCAGCACAGTAGGCTTCTCATTGCCATGAGCCTCCCAGGCAAGCTCCTGCCCCAGGTCCTTTGCACTTGCTACCCCCACCCCTCAGCCTGGAATGCTTTTCCTCCAGGTATCCACATGGCTGACTCTTTAGGTAATCCTTCCAGTAAGAAATCCTTGGCCACTCTCTCAAACAATTCCTTTCCCCACCTCACCCCTACCATCATCGACACATCATATTCCCATCCCATGCTTAATTTTGTCTCCTTAGCACTTACTCTATTATTGTTTTTCTAGCATATTAGAATATTAGCTTCATCAGAAAGAGATTTTTGTCTTTTGTATTCATTCTCATATTTGCTATTCTTAGAATGTCTAGTACCTAGTAAGCACTCGATACATATTTGTTGAATAAAAGAACCCATCCTTCTCGTTTATATTGAATAACGACAATATTCCAGACACTCTGTTAGGCACTGAGGATACAAAGATAACTAAGATATGAACCTGGCCTCGCAGATCGCACAACCGGTGGGAGCTTCATAACGTGCAACAGTGTTTTGGGCTAAAATATAGTTTTATATTATTTTATAGTATTTATTATATGATATACAAAAGAATGTGAATCCTGCCCAAGGAGAGAGCTGGGTGGATGTGTAACAGCAGCCTTCATATTTTAGAAAGTATTTACCTTCCTTGTAAGCGTTGAAATCAAATTTAAATAGAGGTGTAATTAAGTCTTTACATCCTGGCATGTGTTTCCCTCCATTTGGGTAGAAGTCAAGGTGACCGCAAGCGTTAATAGTTCCGGCACCTGAAATAGATAAAAGCAGGATGACCGCCTCTAAAAATTCTCCTCTTCGCTTCAGTGTAGCTTCTGTGTGTTAAAAACTTACCGAACTCAAAGAGGAAGCGAAGTGCATTTGTATGAATAACGTCGACAAAGTTGGCATCTGAGGGGTCCAGCCTGACTTCGTGTGGGGTGTTGTGGAAGTAGGGCCCAGCTGGGTCCAACCCTAGGGA